GAGGACCTCCATTTATTCGTCCCTATCCGAGAAGACTAGAATATCTAACCATTTCTTGATGTTATAGAAAGGCAGCAAATTCTTCTCAATTATTTAAGACCCTGAGTTTTTGTCCGGCCGGGGCTCGAACCCTCGACCTCCCACACAACAGTCCAGCGTTCTATCCATTGAGCTAACCGGGAGGTGGTTAAAGATTTAAATTTCCTGCATAGTTCAATATCCAGTAGTTTTTTTTTAGCTGTAATTTTCAGTGAGTATTGGTGATTGTTTACTTATTGGCGTCAGCACTCGTCAATGTCAAACTTGCATTGTACAGTTCTCATATCAATGTGTATATTTATTTTGATGTGCCGTTGACCTGTTGTGTTGAGAAATTTCATTCTTCAAAAACCCAACATAAACACTTCCTCCTGACACACGTCGTGATGCCATGTACAATTTTTTTTTTTTTAGCTTCGCCAACCGGCAGGGACACCGCAACAGCTTGCGCCAATTACTGCGGTCCCAATAAACCCACCATTTTTTACTGCATTACCGCAGTAATGTAGGACTAGAACGGGTAGGACTAGAACGGAACATATACGATCCATGCAAGTAGTCCACCCGTTAAATCCCACCTATCCCACCCCAGGGGGGGACATCCATCACACAGTAATCTCGTGTGTGGGAAATTAACGTCTCCTACCCCAACCCTGCAGGAGACAGGACCTCCATTTATTCCTCCCTATCCGAGAAGAATAGAATATTTGACCATTTCTTGATGTTATAGAAAGGTAGCATAATTATTCTTCTCAATTATTTTAAGACCTTGAGTGTTGGTCCGGCTGGGGCTCAAACCCTCGACCTCCTGCACAACAGTCCAGCGCTCTATCCATTGATTGACTCATAATTAACGATTGCATCAAACTTACTATTAATGCCCTTCATTTTTTTTCACATCTTGTTTTTTTTCAAACATAACTCTGCTCATTTACTTGCCACAGTACCCCATGTTAGTACAATCAAGTATATCTCACCTAAACCACTGGATTTTTGTATGAGGCATTGAATCAAGAATGTAGTCCCAACGGGATGCCCATTTGTGATTGGGATCTGTCTCTTGCTGCAAAAAAAAAAGAAATTAAAGGTAAAATTCAGTATGAAAATGTAGTAATGTAGATCTACATGTATGCTTGGGTACAGAGGTAGGTTTGTATTGAGTTATCTGTATTAAAACTGGAATGCTTGATTTCATGAGGTAAAATGCAATGTAAAACTGTTACAAGAAGAACAATAAGGAGCTTGGGAAGGGGAGAGCTGAGAGGGGCGTTTCCATATTACACTGGAACCTTGATTTAACAAAGTGCCAAGGGACTGGGGGAATTGGTTCGTTATAATTATTGAGAGTTCATTATAACAAGGATCTGTGGCATACATTTTACAATAACTTTAGCCGGGCTCAAACTGAAGTATCATTCATAATACCGAAGACTTTGTTATACAGAGGTTTCTTAAATTGAGGTTCCACTGTACATGATGATGTACATGTGGTAGACATTATAATACCACAGAAAATGTCTTAGCACAAATAAACTCTAGATTTCCTTTCCTTTCCAGTTTTCCATGATTTTAGCCATAGAAACCCTTCTGTTAAGCTAAGATTTTACAGCTTCAACCTCCAAGATCTCATTAGCAAATGTAGTTCTCATTACTGTCTGCAATACTATTTCTGTGATGTTAGTTCTAAGAATTTCTCACTGGATCAACTAATAATCCCATGATTGATATTTTCCTGTGTTCACATCAGTTGTCTGTGTGAAGTTGTATCGATTTGGTCTTTACTGCAAGGATCGTGCACAGATACCTTTCTATAACCGCAATTCAGATATATGAATTTCATATATTCATTGTGTTTGATTTATCATCTTATGGGTTTATGTCGAATTAATTTGATGACCTGCGCCCACTTGTCTTGTTAGCTCAATTGGTAGAGTGCTGCACCAGTATCGCAGAGGTCTGTGGTTCAAATTCAGTACAGGCCTCAATTTTTTCAGGTCTGATTTTCACTTCTGCTTAAATAACGCTCTTTACTGTGAGGATCGTGCACAAATAAGTTTCTAAAACCACAGTTCAGATATATACGAATTTCACATATTCATTGTGTTTGAGAAATTCTGTCTTGATCACTCATGGGAGTTACAAAGAGCTAACCCTTTACACTACTAGGAGTGATCAACAAAATGATTTCTCCTTTCAATTTCAATACAGGCATTACCCAGAATAAGGCGATGAGAATGAAGAAAAATATCAACTTACCAACATCATGTGATTGACCTCTAAATTCTCAGCAGTAAAATTGAATGAAACGTGTGGCAGAAAGAGGGGAGAATGGCCACTGAAATTTTTGGAAAGACTACATGTACATGTAGGTTTAAGATAACTGAAAGGTCGAACTCACTAGGAATGTAACAGAGTATGTGTAGGCAATGTAAACGCTTTTTGTCTCGGCTGGAAAACCCATGGCATCAAGGTCACCATCACATTTGGGAACCTCCCCTTCCTTGTGGTTGATACTGTGGAATAAACAAAATTTCTTCATGAGGAAATGCCATTTTTCTTTAATTTCTTGTCGAGCATTTGAGTCCCCAAGAAGAATCAAATCTTGGAGAAGAGAAGTGGTGAAAACAGCGTATAGGTGTGTGAGGTTGGAATTTGTTTTTTGGGACTCGTATCTTTTCTATGTTCTGCACTTCTGTCAAGACCAAAAAATATCTCTCTGTCTATTTCATGAGTGTTGGTACAGGAATACATTAAACAGGTAAGATTGGCCAAACAATTATCTCTTCAACAAGCATGGTCACCCATCTTTTTTTAATGTATTTTTTTAAAAACAGATACTGGTCGGGAACAAACAAGGAAAGTTCTCAACAAATTGCTGAATAACATTTTTTTTTCTTGGAATTCACCTTAATAAGGGGTGGCACAGTAGGAGTCAAGTTTCCTACCCAAGAACAGCACACAATGACCTAAGCAGATCCCAAACCCTAGACCCAAACCCCAGACCCTCAACTCAAGAGTCCAGCTCAGCAGATCCATGATTAGGCTGACAGGGCACAACACTGCCAGTAGCCCAATCTAGCCACAGACTAGGAGAAATTCAGTTTTGGCTGGTGGTTTTTGATTTCCACTTGCCAGTTTAGCTAGTAAACAAACCAAAATTGTCATAACATCCAAGATGTCACTTGCCACTTGGCTAGAAAGTTGAAAAGTTAGTGTCAAGCCCTGGGCTGAGTGTTTAAGAACAATGACCATCCAAACAACTAAAAGTATCATTTCCATTGAATTTTAGACTTTCATTCTCTACACATTCTTTTTTTTATCATTATTCTCTTTGTAAATAACGACTTTTAGACTATTTATCCTTCACAAACATTTGAAAGATTGAATTCCAAATAGTTACCTTTTATATTGATAATTTTTACCTATGACCTCTTATTCGGCTTCAGCTGTACAAATTTAAAATGAATGCAACTTTTTTAGGATTGTTGCTAGGTAGGATTTGGATTTTAATAAAGTTTATTGTGCAGTTAATACCTTCTCGGTGTGACCTTGGCAGACATCAGACGAGCTCCTTCCCATTCCTCCCCTGTCCCGTCATGGTATTTGATTTCAATATCAACATGATTGAAGACGTAGTGCATCCCAGGTTTATTGAACTTGGTCTGTAACGAACCAAAACAAAAACAAGTCACAAAATTTAATAATCCTCATGATTGGACTACAAATGAAGAAATTACAAATAAAAGTGTGGAAGATGGGCCCTACCACCAACTGAGCTAAAAAACCACATGTAGAAAGTAATGCAAATTTTGGAAGGTTTGTCAAAGGTAAACCTGAATTGCTTTTTCTCCACTTAAGTTTGCTTAATGATTGGTCAATGAGACTTTGTGCTACCCTTTCAACAAATCAGATGCAAAACTCAAACCAATTATAAAGGCTGATAGTTTCTAAAGAAACTGTTAGGGGCAGCATCAGTAGGGGTAATGAAATAATTTGGATATATCATTCAACAAAGTTGAAATGGTAAATTGGCCACCGTAACAATTACAAAAGCTGATGTTTCGAGCATTAGCCCTTCGTCGGAGCAAGCAGAGGAATTGTGGGCTGTGTGTACTTTTAAAGGCAGAAAATGGAGCTACGTCATTGGCAGGAACATGGCAACGAGAAAAACATGAATAAATTAGTGAAATGCAAAGCGTTCATTGAAGGGCTAACACTCAAAACGTCAGCTTTTGTAATCGTTACGGTGGCCAATTTACCATTTCAAACCAGTCATGCCTTTTAGTCACCCTTTTCTTATCCCCAAGAAGTTTCCCCATGTTTTACCATGAGTTTTCATGGACTTACATGTACACAAATGATGACATTTACCTTTGTTATGTTTGGCTGTAATGATAACTTCAATTTTGGTTTTCAACCCTCAATTTAAAACTTCTGGGCCCAGTTGTAAAAGGGCAGATAATGCTATCAAACGAGTAAATTACTATCCTACAGATAAGGACTAGCAAAACATACTGCACTATCCACCGGATAGGGATTTATCCAGTGGATAGCATTATCCAACCTGAGCAACCAGGACCTGTAGTTAAATAATTAAACAATAGAACAATCTGTAAATGCTTACACTAGTCACACAGGCATCCCGAGCTTGTCCATCCTCTGACACATGACAACCAATAGGAAATCCTGTAGAACAGTATTTTCTTACTTCATCTGCAACCTCATAACACCAAGTCACAGGCATGTTGTCAATAATCCTGCAAAAAGTAGAAAGATGTATGATAGGATCAGAACAATAAGTTCAAGATAACACCAAGAACATCTCTGATATCTGAGGGGCCCGTTTTTGTTGCAGTTTCAAAATACAGGTCAAATAAGTACATTTTTATTGATTTTCAAATTTGAGACAAATTTTATTACCAAGAGTCAATAATTATGCATGTCAGCTTATGAGATCATAAACAGAAGAAAAATCCAAGTTTTCACTTTAAAGTGTCTGCATTCACTTACAAGACAGTATCTGCTTAAAAGACACAATAAAGGGACTCAACAAAGGATACAATAATTCTTCTGAATCAACCATAAAGGTCACAAGAGTAAAGTAAGAGTAAACTGCCACCAAGAAGCTCTTGATTGTTAAAAAAATATCTTTACCTACACCTTAGGATAAGTATAAAGAATAATAAGGGAGAATCTATGTGAGGTCAGTGACCCATGAGCCCTTGTGAGTGTGTTAACCCCATGAGCCCTTGCACCAAGAAAATAAATGAAGAAAGCACGGGGTCAATAGTGTTGGAGTTGGTTTTGATCTTAGGGGATTTTAGTATTGCTTTGGACTAGACCATCAGTGCTTTAAAGTCTATTCGGCGACTGAGTTACATCTGCATACTGATGTTAGATTGTAAAAGGTTAAATAATTATTACAGGATGACTCTAAAACACCCAGACCACTCAGGACTTGACACTAACTTTTCAACTTACTAACCAAGTGGCTAGTGACAACTTAGATGTTACAACAATTTCAGTTTGTTTAATAGCCAAACTGGCAAGTGTAAATAAAAAAATACTAATCAAAACTGAATTTCTACCAGTCTGTGGCTAGTGGCCTACTGTTAGTGTCCAGCCCTACCACTCATACCGAACAAAAATTGCCTTAGCTTCATGTACATGACTTGTACAAGTATACTGTAGAATCTGATGATTCATCATCAATCAATAAAAAGGACTTTGAGACTTGGCCACCTCTTACCAATGATTTTGATAATTAAGAGCTATTCCACTTCTCAAAAATTCCAGCTTCGTTTTATCCTCTGGTTTGTCAGTGTATTTTTTTACACAAAGTTGTTTACATGCTACATCCTTCTTGAAAGTAATCTGTCAGACATGGAAAGAAATATAAAAAAAGAATAAAGAAAGATTACCAACTTATGGAATGTAAATTGAATGTGAAGTACACCTACTGTATTACATCACAGAAAAATTGACCGCAGCACAACAGTAAAAAGCTACATGTGGTAAATAAGCCCGGATGTTAACTAAGTTAATGTGCAGATAAATATGAAGGCATCTACACAGGCACCATTTTTACATGTGAAAGCTATTGCTTACATTGTAAAGGGAAGGCCTTATCCTTTCTCCAAAAACGACCTGTAAAAAAGTAACACTGTTGTTAATTCAAGAGTGAAGCACAAAGCCGGGTAAGTGAGATATAATTATTACGATCACCAGATGAGTATGGCGTGGAAAAAGTTTGTCGACAGAGTTTTGACTACAAAATCATGTTGTCGGGAGCAACCCTCCTTGTTTCCATTGGTGACCAAATCTCAAGAACCATGTATCACCAACTGTCAAACATGAAAGCCCCCCTTAATAAGATCAAACAATGCCTTGGTACTAGTTGCCATGACAACACAATTTAAACATCATTGGTTGTCACCAAACTTTCATTGCTATCAACTCAACTGAAATTATCGTTCAAACAATAAATATTTGAAGAAGTTCCTTCATGATTACTGTATGTCTACATGTATTTACAGACCTGTCCAAGGTTTTCTGTTGGGGATGTTTTGTCTGTGGGTGGTAGACAGAAATCAAACCTGTACAAAAAGGTCAGACATAGGGTTAAAGATTGACTGAAATAGAAAGATCAACAGAATTAAAAGAGGTAACTGAATTCAAAGGTGGTTGACAGTGTTAACCATTTGTCTCAGATAGTGTGATCCTAAAAATAAACACTCAATATTGCTAATGATTTGCTCTCAGGTTGTTGAAACATCACTCAAACCTGTCACCAACAGTTCTTTTCTGGACTACTCTCATTCAGACGATCAGATGACACAATCTTTACTGCTGGGTTAAAACCACTTACTGAATGAATTAAAAGAATAACAGTGTTGATAATAAAGTTACTTACCTTGCATATTCATATGGAATCACTGATTCAATAGAATCCAGACGATTTACAAACAAATCAATTTTTGACTAAAAAAAAAAAAAACAGGTATTTAGCAAGTGTTAAGGTCAAAATATTGATCTTTATTCCCTTTATTTCCAATTATTGTGATGCATATGCATGTAAATGTACGACACCAAGGTGAAACATCCAACCACTTTGAAAAAAAATTACACCTAGGAATAATTCTACTTTAGCTTTCAATTCATATCATAAAATAGTAAAACTAATCCAATTAAATTGCTGGAATCACTAGATTGAAGACTTGATGAAACCTCATGTAAAATTTAGATAGTAGAAAAAAAAACCATCAGGCTTGTTTGTTTATTTACGAGAAGACTTTTATCTAACTACCCAATTAACAGCTTGAAGGTAAATTTATTCAAAACCTTAATTCTTAGCGTATCGGGCTGGTTGTCTGGGAAATACGATTTCTTTTTCGTGCATAGAATGTAGAATCGACGAAAAATAAGCGCACACATTGCACTTAAACTGAGTTGGATTGAAAAGGAAAGAGAAAAAATTAATACTTCCACATAGCTAAGATATCACAATGTCTAAAAATAGATATTTCCTTGGTTAATTTGAAACGGCTGAATTATAATATGATTGGCAACGGCCATGAGCTTTTATACACATGTGCTACTGCGATAAATTTAAAAGCGAACAAACTAACAAAGTTGATAACGATTTCTGTTTAAGGAAAACTTCTACATTTGTTGATGGTAAAATTATAGACGAGAAGCTCCAATCGATCGACGTTGATGTGCAAGTAAATAAATTGAGAACAGTAAAATATACAAGTAAAATTCTACGATTGAAATCTATACATTGCTAGAAGCAAGCGTCAGTGCAATAAATTAACTAACCATTAGCTGATAACATAGGTTTGATTCACTGTCTCAGGATAAGTGCCATAACCTTACACTTTAATAGCGTCGTTGAAAGAAGTCGAAGCAAAATGGATTGATATACCAATGGATCGATGACCGTTGACTACAATCAGCCACAAACAAACACCATTCTAACAACCTTGGCTTAAAATTCGTTAATTTAATCTAGAACAGGTTTTCCATCGTGTTCTGCATGTTACACAGTACAACGGGATTTCAAAATATATAAGGTTACCTTTCTCAAACTTACCGAACAAGCAGGATTTGTGGACTTTTCAGTCTCGCAGTAAGAAATCGGCGCAAGACCGGGTAGATAAAATGCCGCGGCATAAGAAATCCATAAACATAGAACCAACGAAATCAACCCAAGCGAACTGCAGTGCTCCATGTGCTTCGAAAAAACCGTTCGGTACCTCCAAATAGACAAAATCCTGCTAAAATTGCAACAGTTTACGTATACTCCTCCTCAAAATCTGCGACCTTCAATGTGCAAATTTCAGAAAGCGGCCTTTATGCGCAGTTAAGAGAATCCAATCATCTGCGCATGGGAATGGCCACGTCACAAGATCCTAAAATGGCGCCTGAACAAATCCTAGTTCCAAGCCTCGGCCGCGCTTTCTCGCCGCCTTTGAGCGCTAGCCATCTGGGAGTGTGCATTCGGATAGATCAGCAGTAACAACCAATCACAGAGTGCGCAAAACTCAGTTCATTTCATAACTTTCTTATTTAAATAAATAAATTAGTTTACTCGATCAATGAAAATACTCTAAGTTGAAACTGGCAACCCTGACGAGTTAAAAAGCCGACGTTTCGAGCGCTAGCCCTTCGTCAGAGTGAATGGAGGAATTGTAGGTTGTGTGTGGGTTATATGCGGAAAGTGGGGCAATCAACGCTATTGGTGGGAGCATGGCGACGAGAAAATCACGAATAAATTAGTAGAATGAAAAGCGTTCGTTGATACCTACGGGATTAAGAGTGCCAATTTGAAAGATAAACTTTTTTTTCAAGAGTTCTGCGGCTTTCCGAGCTACCTAAATGTAAGGAAAGACCGCAGATTGCCATATGTTGCTTAGAATGATTAGGTAAATTAAGGTGTCTAGCTACTGGTTTTGATGCGTCCTTGTCAAAGCCAGTCGCAAGACACTTAATTGACTATTTCACTATAACCAGTTACCTTGTTACCCCAACGCAGCACAACAGTTTCTTTAGAAACTTTAACCCTTTATTCAATGAAAATACGCGACTGTTAAAGGAGCCAAATATCCTGTTTGTTATTCCAAGCAGCTGGCTCCAGACCATTTACATCACAGTGAGATTAACTGACTGAAAGTTAGCCTCGTTAAAGGCTTCTTCTTTCCCATAAATAACAATGTTACCTTGTACAACGACTGATGAGATTAGCCTTGTGAATATCTCTTATTTCTGATAGATCATTTTACGCAAAAATGAATCCTTCAGGCGTATTGCATCATCGGGAAGAAAAAATAGGCACGCACCTGCGTACAAATGTTCTTATAAGTCGTGTTTCTAACAAAGAAACTGTACTTTATTCATACAGATACTCAGATGATTATAAAAACACACTTGTTCCAGTTGGTCGAGGACTGCATTGCGCCTTGTAATTACTTAACGCAAGGTGTAAAATTAATTTTGAAGCACTAATTTCCAAAACTAGTCTTTAAATATAGGCAATTGGTTGACTTGAGACTTTTTTGAGGCGCGAACAGCGACAGGAAAATGAATGAAACTAGCTCCTTCTCGCTTGGACAACTACCTGTGGACTTAAGGCCCTCGTTTCAGCACTTGACACAAAACGCAAAGACTTAAGAGAAGCCGCCAGAAAATTTCGAGATTCGAAAATCAGTGACGAAAAATCGAATTTTTTTTATTTTGCCAAAACATCCCTTTCTGTGT